ATCATTGCATTTCCAAATCACCACGACAGCGCAATATAAAATTTATTGTTGTACATATACATACATATCTATATGTAATTTGTGATTGCACTGCCATGGTAATATGSTCGTTTGCATATTATATAGCACGAAATCCTGAATAACGCAATTTCATTTGATAAACCACTTTACCATTTTAGATGTTGTCAATGTGCAAATACTTTAAGAACAGTTCCCTTGAAACACGGGTTTTTATATCTCTATCAAAAATTTTGAAGATTTCCTTATAAAACTTCTCCAATTACAAAAATAACATATTTCCTTTCCCGGGGTAAAGAGTCTCAAAGTCTATTTCTACCAATGGAAAATAAGTTATTGAATTATTTGAAAAAAGCATTGAATATAAGAACTCACAAGTTCATATCCACTAAAGTCCTTATAGCGCGGCCATTCACTAAAAATGCCGCTTATAGATATCCATATCTATAATTCTTTGACCAGATGTCTCCTTCCAGTAATCAATAACCTGTTCCCATGGTGTGCAATTATTCTGCAGCCCGCACTTCTTTTCGTAATACTTATCTAAATATTCAGAAATAAGTATATCTTGTGAGAGTAAACAATCTATTTGTTTATACCGCTGGATAAAGCTGCTGRCGAAGCGGTAGTTGTACGATCGGTTGAAAACTTTTTATAATTGGTTTTGTCAGCATTCGTCCAGCGTGAAAATAGCTTTCCCTTAGGATTTTTCTTACCATGTTTTCTTGCTAGAAAATTCCTAAATATTAAATAGTTGCATTAAAAAAATAGACCATGTTACAATTAAATAAATCAATAGTATTGCGCAAAACATATGAAACAAAATTAGTTTTATTTTGGTTTGGCCCTATTTTTATTTATTAATTTTTAATAGTAATAGTAACTTCATACTTAACTCCTAATTTGGTTGTTTATGTTTTGCACAACCTTTTAAGTGTGCCAAATGATTTCCCAAAAATAATTAAAATAGTAAGCAGAAATGATTTTTTTCATTTTGAAACATGAAATAATTACATACACGTATGGATATACAAACCGGATTCTCTTTGGGGAGTACATCGCAGATGATGTTGGCCCACTTTTGCATTTCTCCATATGTCAGTTTTTTCCGCCTTCCTATATAATTCTCTATTACGCAGTGTCACAATGTATTCTGCTGCTTGGCGTCCAAGAAACCATTTTTCTGCTGAAAGTGAAGCACAAGCTGCCCTTTAACCCTACCTTTTCAAAGGTCGGTTAAGCTGCGACTGTCCATGCAGTTATCATACGTCGGCTGGAGTACTGGTGAAGAATCTCTTGAACTTTTAGCTGCATTTAAGTCGTCAGAAGTTTTCTCTAACCTCTCCAAAATTCGACTACTCGCAGACAAGGTGCTTGCATCACGTGCAAGCGGTATATTCTAAAAATGCTTGCATAAATGTACACCAAAGAAGTTGTTAAATTATGCTGCACTTACCATGTTCTTCCTCCATTCTCTTAATCCCGCTTTAAACTTAATGCATTCGCCAAAAAATTTTGTTGGAACCTTTTCAAATAAACAGTCGATATCTTCCCAATCCATTTTTGTTAAAATTATCATTGATGTCACTCCGTTGTCCACAAGAATGGAGCAAATATCATCATTTAACTCCCATGATTTAAAAATGGGCAGCGTTTCAATTGCATCTAATGTGCAAGGAGCGTTACTATTTTCATCCGAACTGAATATATCCATTTTACAAACTTGTCACAATTTTTATAAGA